ATATGATGTCTGTGTTTTAGTTAGAAGTTGTGTTTTTTACTCCTTTACGGATTATTTCTTTCTTCTTTCTTGTATTCACTGAGTATGATGGAGTTGTAGAATAATTTTAGTAGCAGTGTTGTGGTTTCTATTCCTGGTTCAGGTTTAACATAATATAACCATAATATATATAAACTCTTCAAGTGGCCCCGCCTCCCTCCACAAGTGGCCCCGCCTCCCTCCACAAGTGGCCCCGCCTCCCTCCACAAGTGGCCCCGCCCCCCTTCCCTCTGTCCAAAAGGGGCCAATTCTTTCCCAGTAAATGCCGACACCTTTCTTTTAAATGTCTTTGCCACGTCGCGGCACTGACTCTCTCTCACAGACACTGTTACTCTCACTAGCACTGCCTCTCTCTCACAGGCACTCTCCCCCCCCCTCCCCTCCTCTCTCTGGCACTGGCACTCGAAGGGCCTCATTACCGACCCTCGTGCTTCACTTAGCTTTGGAGGACCAACAGCTCAAGGGCTCAGGCCCACCCCAGTGGCACGCTCCGATGTGTGACCCACTCTGGTGGGTGACCCACTCTCCTGGGAGACCCACTCTGCTGGGTGACCCACTCTGCTGGGTGACCCACTCTCCTGGGTGACCCACTCTCCTGGGTGACCCACTCTGCTGGGTGACCCACTCTCCTGGGTGACCCACTCTCCTGGGTGACCCACTCTGCTGGGTGACCCACCCTGATTGGTGACCCACTCTGATGGGTGACCCACTCTGCTGGGTGACCCACTCTGCTGGGGTGACCCACTTTGCTGGGTGACCCACTCTCTTGGGTGACCCACACTCTTGGGTGACCCGCTCTCCTGGGTGACCCACTCTCCTGGGTGACCCACTCTCCTGGGTGACCCACTCTGATGAGTGACCCACTCTGATGAGTGACCCACTCTCCTGGGTGACCCACTCTCCTGGGTGACCCACTTTCCTGGGTGACCCACTCTGCGTTCCGACTCACTCCAACAACTCGAGAGACAGCCGGCCCTCAGTTCAGGCTTCAGGTGGAAACAACGCTCAAGTGACAAGCCAGAAGAAGCCTACACTGTGTCTCTCAAGTGAGCTTCAAGCGTCAGGGCTTCGACTCTCACCCCCGTGCATCACCTCGCCCTGGTGTCGGCTATTGATGCCAGCATCACTGCAAGATCCTGTTGATCACTGACCAGGAGAGGCGCAGTTAATGAAATTGATTTAGTGATTGTAATCTGTAGATAACATGGAAGGTTTATACGAGTCAATTGTACTCAAAATGTTTCCCACACGGCTCGTTGTTAAAAGGCTGAACTACGTTATTTTAGTTTACGATGGGTTGGGATTTGTTACGATTTGATAAAGTTGTAGATTAAGTTCAATAAGCAACATTTGCACAAAAAACTTTTTAAGTTATGGTTTGATTTCCACCCAGGACGAGAAACGTTTGGGCACGTTCCTTCTCACCTGATGCCCCTGTTTACCGGGAAGTAAGTAAGTACTCGCAAGTTAAGCAACTGTTGTGGCTTGCATCATGGGGACGGTCAGAATAACTGGCCTAAGGGAATCTTGATGAAAACGGGACAAAGAAAACGTGGGGGGGGGGGGGGAACATAGTTTAAGACAACAGAAAATGTGGTGGAAACTGCTTCTAGAAGCAACATATACCTGACCTGACAAATATTAATCACCAGAAGAGACGACACCCCATGACTCAGAAACATGGAAGATGACATGACTAAGATACATGACATTGCTAAGAGATAACATGACCATAACACATGACGATGCAATAAGCGGTGATTGACTACAAACAAAACACAAAGACATATGACGTGTCTCAACCAAAACAGATGACACTGGTGCCAATCATCAAATTATTAAACACGGTACGAAACAGGGGTTACCAGAGCTGCGGGACCGGTTATACCAAGTAACACCGGTTGGATAAGGACGTTAGCGGGAGTGGCTGCGTCTTACAGACGCTTCGTATGTGCTTGGACGTCTCCGGCAGACACTTATTCACTCTTGTGCCACAAGCATTTTTATTTTGTTAAAGGCGACAATATCTTGTTATTTTGGGGGATTTTGGTGGAAGAAGGTGATGGATGTGGGTGAGGAGAGTGTTGAAAGTTGAGATATTATTTGAGAAGAGCGTGGTGTGTGAATTGAGAAGTGAGAGAGATAAGATATGTCTGAGGAATGAGGGATAAGGCAGATGAGAGTTAAGATGTAAAAAGTGAGAGATAATGGGTAAGAGTTAAGGGACAATGGGTGAGAGTTAAGATGTAAAAAGTGAGAGATAATGGGTGAGAGTTAAGGGACAATGGGTGAGAGTAAAGGTCAGAATGAGAGGCATTAGAGACGAGGGAAGTGACCCAATAAATACCGCAGGGATGTGTGTCTCTCTCTCAACCTCCCTTTGTACACTCTTATACCTCGAGTTTTCATTATTTCGTTAAAAAAAAATCAAAACAAGAAAGCGCATAAATAAGAAAGGGAAAACCTCTGAGAGCAAATGTGTTTGTATTCGTCTGGGCTTTCTTTCCCGGGAGCCGGAATTTAAATTAGTTCCTTAACTATCTCACCACCACCACTACCACCACCATTACCACCATTACCACCACTACCACCACTAAGACCCACCAGCAACACTAGTCTTGGTGTTTACCCCATAACGAGGATAATGATAATCAAATTGTAACACCGTAAATTATTTTTAAATATATATATATATTAACATACAGAGTTGAGGCTAGCACGAGAGAGAATTGCTAAGGCCAGACATCCTGACGTTGGACAAGGGGTAACTTCATCAAAGTGTTAACTCTCACCTAGACCCAGGAAGTCTCTCTTCCTCTCCGTCCCATTCCCCTGTCACGCAGCTGTTTATTACAGTTATATGACTGCTGAACATGGCCCAGTAACATACTGCTCATGTGACGGAGCCTCTGATTTATGAATAATACGTTTTATTCTACTTACGATACTTTTCTCCTAACTGATTCGACTAGAACCCAAAATAAGACAGAACGAATGATCAATAAACAGTTTACACACGACTGGTTTGCTCTCCGTCGGCTTCTGTAGACACCACCTCATACTTTGTGGCTTCCTTCAGATATGTTCACTTAAATTTGCCTCGTGAGCAACGAGTCCGGTTATGGAGATACCCGGATAAAGGAATCTTCAGTACATATTTCCCTACTTCGCCATAGATAGTAGCGAATGTACTGATAGTACTAACCTGGTAGATGGATAATACTAACCTGGTAGAAAACGGGGATACCTAGAAATAAATTACTATGTATTAAGTTTTGACAGGGGAAACAAATGTAGTCCCACGTTGACTGCCGGCGTGCATCCATCTCTCAACCTGCCCGGCTGCCCGCCCGCCCCTCTCACTCCTCCCATGTCTTCACCCCCTTCACCGCTTGTCTGCCTGGATCCTCCCAATACCCATTCCCGGCCTGGAGGTGGTGTGGTGATGACAAAAGATCCTGTAGAAGGGGGACGCCTGGCCCAGTAAGTCAACAAAGTGCGAGACACTTGTCACACGCTCCGGACGTTTTCATCAATTCCCGTAAGATAAATTGCTGCAGGGGCTGCTCGTCCTCCCGGCGGGGGAGCTTGGGGAAGACACAGCCCAGGGTGGAGTGGGGGAACCCTCCACCTGCAGGGGAGAGGGAGGGGGGAACCCTCCACCTGCAGAGGAGAGGGGGAAGACTAGAGAAAGACGATGTTAAGACGGCAGCTGGGAGCTTTTACCTTTGGTAGCTTTCCACTAAACCATTACAACAGTCTTTCACCAGTAGTGCAAAATGTTATTTTAACTTGTTGCAAGATTATATCACATACCCGGGTTATCATAGTCCCGTAATGATGCCACCATCACGCCGCGCTAACGCGTTACCAGATTTACATAACATTAGCATAGTTGCATTTGACAGACACAGTCGCATCGCATTAAGTGAAGCGCTGTCTCTATCTCTCACAATCCCCCCCTCTCTCTCTCACAGCATCAAGCATTACCGACACATCTATTCAGTCCCTTCGAGATGTCTGTCAGGTTTTCACCACGATCTTTAATAATGCCTGCATCCCATCTATTCAGCCCTCAGCATAGCCATCCCCAGCCCTCAGCATAGCCATCCCCAGCCCTCAGCATAGCCATCCCCAGCCCTTACCACAGTCGACTTCAGCACGCAGCATAGTGATCTTCAGCTCTTAACAGTCATCTACACAGCCTTCAGCAGTCATCTCCAGAAGTGGTAAAGCTTGGAGTAAACAAGTAACTACATCTCAGACACCGAGTGAGGGCTTTCTTCAGGTTGTTCCTCTGAACTCCTCCTCTATCACTCTCAACTTTTACTCCGCTCTCAGTGTGCTTGGAAGACCCTTTGTTGCTTATCCGGGGACATCAAGACGGTTTGACAAAGTTTGGAGCCTGGTTATTGTTATTCAACTTCCTTTGTACTGCTTTTCTAAAACGCTCGTTCTGTCATCTGCTCTACCGCTCTCGCCCTGTCATCTGCTCTACCGCTCTCGCCCTGTCATCTTCTCCACCACTCTCGCCCTGTCATCTTCTCCACCACTCTCGCCCTGTCATCATCTCTACCACTCTCGCCCTGTCATCATCTCTACCACTCTCGCCCTGTCATCTTCTCTACCACTCTCGCCCTGTCATCATCTCTACCACTCTCGCCCTGTCATCATCTCCACCACTCTCGCCCTGTCATCATCTCTACCACTCTCGCCCTGTCATCATCTCCACCACTCTCGCCCTGTCATCATCTCCACCACTCTCGCCCTGTCATCTTCTCCACCACTCTCGCCCTGTCATCTTCTCCACCACTCTCGCCCTGTCATCTTCCTTACTGTTATCGACCTTATAACAAGAGAACAGTATACATCATAACAGTATAACATGTTTGGACATAGCAAAGACCAGCGAGTCTAGCAGTCGACACTGTGAACTCACATCTCCTACGGGTGCTATAACAATGGCCGAGTCAGGTCAGATCAAGAGCTTACAGGAGATAATGATGTCAGAAGTACAGCCTCGCTAATCCGCTTGTGATGATTCATCTACATCAAAAAACGTGGCAGAACCTTCGCATTCTTGTTCGAATGCGAACCTTCGAACCTTGTTCGCATTTGTGTTCCTCACGTGTGCCCCAAAGAATGAGGTGATTTGGTGAAATGCTATGCCCAAGATTACCATCCGAGTTGCCGTCGGGGAAGTGGCTCAAATAGCCTCGGCTATCACTTCCTTTTGACGGCCGTGATGGTCAAGCGGATTAAGGCGCCCTGTAGTTACCAGTTGCGTTGCTTCTGGGAGTATGAGTTCGAGTCACTTCTGGGGTGTGAGTTTTCATTCGCATATAGTCCTGGGGACCATTCAGGCTTGTTCGCATTTGTGTTCCTCACGTGTGCCCCAAAGAATGAGGTGATTTGGTGAAATGCTATGCCCAAGATTACCATCCGAGTTGCCGTCGGGGAAGTGGCTCAAATAGCCTCGGCTATCACTTCCTTTTGACGGCCGTGATGGTCAAGCGGATTAAGGCGCCCTGTAGTTACCAGTTGCGTTGCTTCTGGGAGTATGGGTTCGAGTCACTTCTGGGGTGTGAGTTTTCATTCATATATATATATATATATATATATATATATATATATATATATATATATATATATATATATATATATATTATATATATATTAGTCCCAAGCTAATAGTAGTTTTCAACTATTTACTGTCAGACTCCACCCGACACTGTCAGACACCACCCGACACTGTCAGACACCACCCGACACTGTCAGACACCACCCGACACTATCAGACACCACCCGACACTGTCAGACTCCACCCGACACTGTCAGACACCACCCGACACTGTCAGACACCACCCGACACTATCAGACACCACCCGACACTGTCAGACTCCACCCGACACTGTCAGACACCACCCGACACTATCAGACACCAACCGACACTGTCAGACTCCACCCGACACTGTCAGTCTCCACCCGACACTATCAGACACCACCCGACACTATCAGACTCCACCCGACACTGTCAGACACCACCCGACACTGTCAGACACCACCCGACACTGTCAGACACCACCCGACACTGTCAGACACCACCCGACACTGTCAGACACCACCCGACACTGTCAGACACCACCCGACACTGTCAGACACCACCCGACACTATCAGACACCACCCGACACTATCAGACACCACCCGACACTATCAGACTCCACCCGACACTGTCAGACACCACCCGACACTATCAGACACCACCCGACACTGTCAGACACCACCCGACACTATCAGACTCCACCCGACACTGTCAGACACCACCCGACACTGTCAGACACCACCCGACACTGTCAGACACCACCCGACACTGTCAGACACCACCCGACACTGTCAGACACCCCCCGACACTATCAGATTCCACCCGACACTGTCAGACACCACCCGACACTATCAGACACCACCCGACACTGTCAGACACCACCCGACACTATCAGACTCCACCCGACACTGTCAGACACCACCCGACACTGTCAGACACCACCCGACACTGTCAGACACCACCCGACACTGTCAGACACCACCCGACACTATCAGACACCACCCGACACTGTCAGACACCACCCGACACTATCAGACTCCACCCGACACTGTCAGACACCACCCGATACTATGAGACACCACCCGACACTGTCAGACACCACCCGACACTATCAGACACCACCCGACACTATCAGACACCACCCGACACTGTCAGACACCACCCGACACTATCAGACTCCACCCGACACTGTCAGACTCCACCCGACACTGTCAGACACCACCCGACACTAACATAGTTCAGTCATCAACATGAAGCATGATTGTGGGTTCAGTACCTTCCAGCGCCCAGCATTACTCAGGAGCTCCTCGTCCTTAATGTCTCCTTTGAGTGACGAAGCCAAAACACGAAACTTCAATCGGAGTCCTCAGTAATGTGTGAATTTGCCGCGTGTTGGAGACGCTTGAATATTTCCGTCTTAGACTCTTCATCATAAACTCGAGTCCTCAGTCCGTTAAAATAAAACGAGAGAGAGAGAGAGAGAGGGAGAGAGAGAGAGAGAGAGAATTATATATTAAACGAAATGAGAGACAAAGTAGGATAGATAAAGACGGTAATCAAGACATACCAAAGACAGACAACGTCTTAAAACTGCAAAAGGAGTATACGACGGAGCGGCGTGGAATGCAAGTTACTGCAGCTGTCAAGCCCTCAGCGGTGCGAGCGCTGAGGGAGCTTTGGGAGTAGGCGCCTGCTTGCTGCTGCTGCTGCTCCGAGGTGATGGGTGGATTAGCCAGAGGAGCAGCGGGTGAGCACCTCACTTTATACTTTATACCCACCACGCCACTGTTACAGCCCCGTTCCTGTGCCAGGTAAGTCCACTACGGGCTCACCATAGCCTATGCTGCTTACAACTTTTGGTTCCGAGTGGCTGAATTTAAAACAACAATCACTGGTATACCCTCCATACTCAACCCACCAGCACACTCTCCATCCCTAACCCACCACAGGCACATCCCAACCCACCACCACCACCTTAGCCCACCACCACCACCACCACCCCAGCCCACCACCACCAACCACCCCAGCCCACCACCACCACCACTCCAGCCCACCACCACCACTCCAGCCCACCACCGCACAACCCACCACCGCCGCACCACACCACCACCACCCCAGCCCACCACCGCCCCACCCCGTCGACTTCACCTCCACGGGGATACACAATTTGCATTTAGATCTTCCATTACCTTAAGGGGGTGAGCAGAGGAATTACAGATTTTGCATGCAAAGATTTCTCTCGGGGGATATTCTCCGCAGGGCTTAGCCGATAGGAATCAACTCTCTTTTTCTGATATCGACTCAGACATATGAATGAGCATTACTTGCTTTTTTTCCCCGATATGAAATGCGACATATTTTTTTCCTTATCATGGGTAACATAAGCGTCCTTTTTCGAGAGGGCGCTCCAGAGAAAGGGGCTGATTGGGGATGGTTATGTCTGAGAGCTGTTAGGTCGGTTAAAACTCGGTACCTGAGCGGGAGTTCTCGCAGGCGGTGGAGAATCCTCGTCCTGTTCTTAGTGCCTATAATGTACATGTTTTTTTGCGCTTGATGATCTTACTTTGTTGGGCAACTTGTTTCTTAAAACAGGAGTTTGAGGAGTGCTGTTTGTGTGTGTGTGTATTTACTATTTTTATTTATTATTTGTGTGAATTTACAATTTTTATTTATTATTTGTGTGTATTTACTATTTTTATTTATTATTTGTATCTGCAGAATCGAGCTATTAGCTCTTGGACCCCGCCTTTCTAACCAATTTATTTTAACTCTATTATGTCTATTACATATATTTCTCTCGAACACACACACATCCCCAGGATTCAGCCCGTAGCAGCTGTCTAACTCCCAGGTACCTTTTTTACTGCTAGGTGAACAGGAGCGCCAGGGTGAAAGAAACTCTGCCCATTTTTTCTGCTTCTGCCGGGGATAGAACCCGGGCCTTTAGGACTACGACCCCAGAGCGCTGTCTACTCAGCCACGAGACCCCCCCCCCCCTATGTGTATGTGCATGTTTAAAATGTGTGCCTGCAGGATAGAGCTATTAGTTCTTGGGCCCCGCCTTTCTAACCGTAGGGTGCCTAAAGTAGGACCCCCGACCTATTTTTCTCTGTAATTTATACTACATATGTTTATCTCTAGTACACACACACACACACATTCTCAGGATGTAGCCCGTAGCAGCTGTCTAACTCTTAGGTACGTATTTACTGTAAGGTGAACAGCGACATATGGTGAAAGAAACTACCCATTTGTTTCTGCCTCGGCCGGGAAACGAACCCGGGCCCCTCTTGATCCCCATAAGTATTATGTATGAAGTGATTATGTCCTCCCTGTTTATCCTGTCTTCCAGTGACATGAGGTTCAACTCCTTTAGTCTTTCCTTATTCCTTATTCCTCTCAGCTCCAGGACTAGTCTGGTGGCATACCTCTGGACTCTCAACATCTTCATTATGCGGAACTCTGGTGCCGCACGTTACAAAATTGGTATGACATAAACAGTATATAAGATTATGAATACCTCATGGTTCAGGTTACTAAAGGCAGTTCTTATGTTGGCCAACGTTGCATATGCCGCTGATGATATTCGGTTGATGTGGACTACTTTTTTATATCTTTTTCTGCTACATTTATTTACAAAGCTAAGCAGCACATGTACATTCTCATCTGTCTTGCATTGACAGTGTTAGAGATCTGTTCTTCATATTGTACAGTGGGTTATTGAGCACTCAACCACGGGTTATTGAGCACTCAACCACGGGTTATTGAGCACTCAACCACGGGTTATTGAGCACTCAACCACAGAAGGTGATTGAGGTGCTTTTAGAGTACACGCCAGGATACATACATGTTATGTACTACATAGACAGGCTCAGAAAGTTGGTACAGTACATAATGAGTTATTGAGCATTAGACTACGTAAGGTAATGGGTGGTATGTTCGGTGTACTGTTACAGCCCCGCTCCTGGGCCAGATAAGTCCACTTCGGGGCTCGCCATAGCCCGTGCTGCTTAGAACGTTTTGTTCCGAGTAGCTGAATCTAAAAAAAAAAAAAACAATCCTGACAGATCCCTGTGTACTGCTGTGCTGTGTACCTTGTTTATATTTACCTCAGCAGCTGTGGACAAGGATGCTGATCATTCCAATCTGTCAGCGTCTTTTACGGGTACTTGGAACAGAATGGATACATTTACCACATTTACCAATGGTGTCCCGCTCGTGAGAGTTGTCAACGCACCGCGGCTCTCTGTTTTCTATGTGTGTGTGTGTGTGTGTGTGTGTGTGTGTGTGTGTGTGTGTGTGTGTGTGTGTACTCACCTAGTAAAGGTGTGTGTGTGTGTGTGTACTCACCTAGTAAAGGTGTGTGTGTGTGTACTCACCTAGTAAAGGTGTGTGTGTGTGTGTGTGTGTATGTGTGTGTGTGTGTGTACTCACCTAGTAAAGGTGTGTGTGTGTGTGTGTGTGTACTCACCTAGTAAAGGTGTGTGTGTGTGTGTGTGTGTGTACTCACCTAGTAAAGGTGTGTGTGTGTGTGTGCGTGTGTGTGTGTGTGTGTGTGTGTGTGTGTGTGTGTGTGTGTGTGTGTGTGTGTGTGTGTGTGTGTGTGTGTACTCACCTAGTAAAGGTGTGTGTGTGTGTGTGTGTGTGTGTGTGTGTGTGTGTGTGTGTGTGTGTGTGTGTGTGTGTGTGTGTGTGTGTGTGTGTGTACTCACCAAGTAAAGGTGTGTGTGTGTGTGTGTGTGTGTGTGTGTGTGTGTGTGTGTGTGTGTGTGTGTGTGTGTGTGTGTGTGTGTGTGTGTGTGTGTGTGTGAGGCGCGAGGAGGGGGGAGAGAAGGGACACCTGCGCATGATCACCTAAATTAAACAAACAGTTGCTCACAGGATCAAGCACTAACACCTGAGATCCCCCGCTTTTGAGAGCCATTAGCTGTCCAAAAGCCAATGCTTGCTTTATAATGTACCGCCATTAACAAACTTTACAACGTACAATACAATTTTATTTAGGTAAGGTACATACATACAATGAATTTTTACAAGGATTGTTAGACTTATAGGTAGAGCTAGTACATACAATGCCTAAAGCCACTATTACGCAAAGCGTTTCGGGCATGAAATAATACATACATAATACATAATACAATCGCTGTACCAGCCAACAATAAAGTCCCCGAAAAATCCCAATTGATTTTTTAAACTCTCGTGTAGCAAACATTAGGTTTCAACGGTACTAAAAAATATATATATATATATATATATATATATATATATATATATATATATATATATATATATATATATATATAAACCGCTGTTTTGGCTATCACGTCCCATAAAATTGGAAGAATTTAAATATATTTTGGATGATATTGTTGACTACGACTATTTGCAACTTTTTTTGAACACTGACGCCGTGTAGATAGTAATCGCGTTATCTTGAATTTGTGGACCCAATTATCAAAGAGTTTTGTACAATTCGAACGAAGTAATGAAGTTGAGCTGAGCTCGTGTGTAACAGAACTCACGGGTCAGTTTGTTAATTAGATTGGGTAATGCTGTTTTGATTCGCATTTGTATGTTTGGTATACCGCGTGAGATCTGTTTGGTATACTGTAATATGATTGGTATACTGATTGTTTAATAACAATCACGTTTAATACCATTTGTGGCATATAAGTGAGGTTCTTGAAGAGTTTTATGGGTGAACTTCTAAACAAATTCTAAGTACAAAAGGTATCAAAGAGACAATTAAAATTGGTCCAAAAACAGAGGAATACCTGAGCATAACAGCCGACGCATGACAGCTGACGCATGACAGCCGACGCATGACAGCCGACGCATAACAGCCGACGCATGACAGCTGATGCATGACAGCCGACGCATGACAGCTGATGCATGACAGCCGACGCATGACAGCCGACGCATGACAGCTGACGCATGACAGCCGACGCATGACAGCTGACGCATGACACCTGACGCATGACGCATGACATTATTCACCAATGGAGAGAGAATAATGATGTGGCGAAATATACATAAGGTAACTAAATGGGGAACCGGCGGTGCCCGGGTCTCACTATCATCCCCTTCCCCTCTCAATCCCAATCTACTTCCCTCCTCCTCCCCTCCCTCATCTCTCCCCCTCATCTTTACCCCTCTACACTCACTCTTTCTAACTCTCTTTGTCTCATAAAATGTAATACTTTAACCTGAATGATTTCACGTTCATAAATTTCCACG